TATTGCTGGAAGCTGGAACTTGCAACAATGGCTGAAAAGTTTAGGAACCACCACAGACATAAAACAGGGCAGGGGGAAAGCAGAGAATTCACTGCTCAGATGAAACAATGGATTATTTTAATACTGCCATTTATGGAAAGGGATACACAGACAGTTAACTCCTTCCCAGAGGAGGTGTCTGCTAGAGGAAAGCAATCAGTCCTGATAACAGAACTGGTATCATATGGAAATAATCACTATTCATTCTCAGAAACATCATTTCTTACTAATGGCTATAGATTTGTTCTGTGGAACAAAAAGAATGCACAAAATTGAGACATGGGCAAAAGTGTGGTACTTTTTTTTTTCTATCTACCCAGGCAGGATTCTCTTTTCATTCAATAAGGACTTCTTGGCAGAGTGAATATCCATGGAGATGGTATTCTCTTTTCACTCTGAAGATCATGGAGCTTCCAGAATTCAGGTGCATGAATGAAAGTGTGTACCTAAGGCTGCCTGATCAGTGATCATTTCAAGGAAGAAATCTCCAGTGGCTCAGGGAACACAGCGCTGAAGTGCTTTGGTGCTGAGTGGCATTTTAGTGGTGCACTTAGCTTTCACCTGTGCACTGAGCTTGTCCCAGTTTGCATTAGATCAAAAGTAATAAGCAGAGCGAGTCCCAAGAAGCAGAAATGAGAATGAGAATGGAAGAAACTAACTGGGATGTGCAGGTGTGACACAGGAACGCACCACTGAAATGAGATACACGCACAGACAAGGAAACGACGCGATGTCTATTAATATTGGTGTGAGCTTGCAAAGAATGAGAGACAACAGAAAACAGTCCTGTTCTGAAACCCAGGCAAACCAGTTTAATGGGCCGGCCCACAGCTCAGCAGACCAAGCAGGGTCCGGAGATGTAGCAAGCATCACCTCCACGAAGTCACAAGTCCTTGCTGGCAGTGATGGAGCTGGAGACACGTTCAGGGATGGGGTCACCTAGCTGCAAGGTACATCTGTTGCAATATACTGTATCATCCCTCTCCCTCTCGCAGTACATACAGTATATGTTTGTGCACAGAGAGGCCTTCAGTCACTCACCTGTAATGGCACCTGACCTGGAAGGTGGGGAACACTGCTTTGCTAGAGCAGGTGAGCTCTCTGAACTTCTCCAGAGGCTAGAATCAGTTACAAATGCTTTGCACTTTAATCTGTGAGTTACAGATTAAATGAACATTGATTTCGACTGAGGCTGCTTTTGAAGTAAGCAACTGTTCCTCACAGAATGCAGCTTGATTTGGTGTTACCCAGGCTGCAAAGACATTATGCTAAGCTGAATGGCCCCTCATGATTCTATGATCTCCTGGGTGCCAGGGGACAAGAAGGTGGCTTTTGTGTTGGAAGGAGAGCAGCATTCCTTCCCATGCCCATTCAAGGCTCACCTGGCAATCATCTGGGAACAATTCTTCATTAATTCTATTCCATTTTAAAACAGTGCCATTTGGTGCCAACTTCCCAATAATTCCTATCCCATTTCAAAATTTCCTATCCCATTTCAAACGAGCATTATTTTGGTGATATTTTTGCTTCCCTGTTTTCTCAACCACAGCCTGGACATCCATATAATTTTTAAATCACAGCCACATACGAAATAAATGTTTCTTGTCAAGAATTCCATCCAGTCACAGGTTTATTTTAGTCTGAATTCACAGAAAGTGGAGGCTGTTTAATAAGTCACTATGAGTAAATGCTACACATGGGAAGTTTGTTCTCTGTTGTTATTGTTGTTAGCCTCAAAAAGATGCTAACCTTATTGAACTCTTCTAAAAGCATGAAGAGCTGGGGCTAGTGAGGACAAAGGCAACTTTCTTCCCATGTGGCTACAACCACTGCATGATGAATTTATATAAGAAGCAGTCATCCTGCAGTGCTGAGTCTTGGAATCTACCCTGATGCTCCCTTTGCTTATTAATTTGAAACTCCTTGTTTCCTATCCTAGACCAGCCAGACATCTGCAGATGCAAAGTAAGTGACAGCAGTCTGTCTGACCAGATTCAAATTATATTGATCAGTTTTAGACATCTAGTAATTCTTTCCCAATCCTTGCTCTCAGTTGTGAAAGGCTGCCCATCTCCTCCCGTTGATATATTTCTCACATGCTTGTCATCACAAGGGTGGCTTTAAAGGGTGAGATTAGCTACCACTGGCATAGAGAGAAATTGGACTTTGGGTCTATGTACCTCATGTTTTGTTCTGTTTTTCCCATACACTTTACAACAGACAAACGTTTCCTGTAGTGTTGCAGAGTTGTTGTTGTTTGCTTGGAAGAAGCTAAATTCACTTATCCTAGTGACCTTCACGAGGTGAAGCAGTGAAGATCAGGGCTTGTGGAAGGCTAGAGAGGTAGTAGGGGAACTGCTAAATGAAGAGATTGCCAGTAGATAAATGTTCATCCCATTCATGAAAGGGCTAAAGGGTAATAAAAAATTATTTCCTCGTGGAGTGTGGCATAAAACAGGCGAGATATTTCTGCCATTGCTCAGCCATTTCCACTTCATTAAAGTGAGCAGATAAAATGGCATGTGGCTTCTTCAGAGTAAGTGACTTTCCAAAAATCAGTCTTGCTCTAAACTTCCAATAATTCCCACTTGCTAGCAAAAGTCACTTCCTCCCCAGGAGCTAACTCAGGCCATTGTTTCTTTTAAAAAATGGTTTGTAGAGGACTCTTTCATCAGATACATTTTGAGGCATGTCCATGATTTTGGGGTGGGGGGGATTTTTGGAATTAAACAAACTGCTGATGACACTTCCTGTGAAAAGGGGGACAAATGGCTCTTGGGGCAGGGCAGGGCAGGGCAGTTCACGTGGAGGTGGGGGGGATGCATTTAGGAAATGGGAATTGGTGCAAGGCAGGTGGGAGTGGAGCAAATGGCAAGGGAGAGATGTGCAGAGGAGTCTTACTGTTTGTGCTGAATGAAACTAGTTTTCTAGGTGCAACTTGAGGGCTATGCTGATAGGTGCTTCCAATTCATGTCCTTGCCTGAAGCAAAGCACTGAGCTGTGGAAGCTACTTACCTGATAACTGCTGCACTGAAGGCTGGTCATGTGTGCTTAACAACTGTGCCTGAATGGTTTCTACTACCCTCTTAAAGCGACGGCTTGGACCTGTGAAAAGACACATCGGACTGTGAGTTGTGGAAGAACCGAACACTGCTGTGGAAGGGAGAGTGTAGGAAGAGAGCACATTTCCATTAACTTTTCTGCTCAGTATTAGACTTCATCTGAAAGCTTCTCATCCTTATGTTTACAAATATGTCCAATTCCCTTCTGTTAATTATTTCTTCTTCTTTATATTCCCCCCATGCCACCATTTTGCTGCTCCTCTGCCAGCCCCTCTGGCTTCTCTCTCTCACTCCTGCCTCTGGGCTTCCAGCCATGCTGCTCCCTATGCTCAGAATAGACCCCACCTCTCTGTTCAGCAAATAATTTCATTTTTCTCTCCCAAGTCCTTATCTCAAGACTCACTTATGCAACAAAGTTTTTTTCAGAACCAGCTACCAGAGGCTCACTTTACCTGCTCCTCCATTACTAATTTAGTCTCTCTTTCTTGATCCCCATGACTTTCTATCAATCCTTGAGCTTTCTTCTATCTTGCCTAGTTAATGAAAATGGCAAATCCTCTAGAAAGGAATGGTGTCACTTTTATGTTCTGTACAGCATGCACCTAAGGACCTTGTTCCAGCTCTATGAAAGTTTAATATTAGTAGCAGTAGGTTATGCCTATCACATTCTTAATAAAGCTTTATGAAGACACACTTCCCTCTGAAACTTACTAGACCTTCCAGCTCCCTTGCAACATCTGTAGATCTCATTATATTATACTTAACTACCTAGTTCGTATACCCCTGGTACCTCTACCATTTCTCCCCAACATGGCCAGCAAAAAAACACTGTTCCTTGTTTGCTTGTTTGTATTTTTAAAAAAACACTGCTTAGTCTCCAGGATTTTGTGTAACCCAAATCTCCAAAGCAAAGTAGAACTATATGTAATCTAAATAACCATCCATTTCCAAAGCTTTTGCCTTTTTTTAAAGCACTCCAGAACAGCTGGTGTCCCATGCAGCTAAACACAGTCAGTATGACTAAAGAGGGTGGAGTGGTAAACTCAAGCCACCTCAATTTGAGTACTGCTAGTCATGTAATGTGGCTTACCAAGTGTTTGACAGGCCTACCGTTTTATTTTTTTTAGTCTCAGGCAGGCAACAAAAGCAGATTTACTGAGTCCGTGTTGGACCGCCATACCTGAATGATGGACAATGTTCATCCGCGCAAGTCATAAGCTACACGTACCTGCTCTACTAGGCTAAATGCCCCAAATAACATCTTAAGGGCACCAATTTTGAAAGCTCTCTTCCAGAATTCTGAAGACTAGTTTGACTGCTAAAATGTTTCCTTTTGAAGCTGCCTCAAACACAAACAAATCCAGAGAGGCAGCTGTGTTAATCTGTTGCAGCGAAAACAACAGAAAGTTTTGTGGCACTTTTAAAGACCAATGAATGGTATATTTGATCGTCAACCCTACACAAGAAAAGAAATACAAACTATGTAAATCACTGTGTGTGATAAGTGCATTTCACAGCATGTATATCTGACATTCACACACAAGGAAAACATAAGCTGTGTTAGTAAGCTACAACTGTTAGCAGTATAATTATGCACATGCATGGCAAAAAAGTGTGATGTGCAATTTTCCACACATGATGACCAGCAATTTGGATGGCTTTAAGAGAGGATTAGACATGTCCATAAAAGATAACACTATCAATGGCTATTAGCCACAATGCCTATGTTCTGACTCTACTGTCTGAGACAGTCTGTGAATGCCACTTGTTGGGAATCACAACTGGGGAGGCTGTGGTTGCACCCAGGGGTCCTGATCCAGCAGGGATTTTCTTACAACAATTTAGACACCATTTGAACACTTCCACATACATGCAAACTGCTGCTGCCTGTTGAAGAAATTAACTACAATTAAGGCCGCCCTCGCTATTTTGTCTGTGCTCCTCCTCCTCCTCCATGCAGACAGCAAGCTTGTGACAATTACCTGATAAAAGTGTGAAAGTGACTGAGTAGATCCCGTTCTCTTTCTGGGCCTCCCCACCTTCTGTGTATGTTATGTCCACTTGGAACTTCACTGGCTTCTGAAAGACAGCAGGGCCCCCTGTGGATTTGTACTCTGCGCGGAAGCTTGTCTGTGAGATGACGCTGTGACTGAGGCTGGGGATCTAGTGGGAAACAACAACATGAAGAACAAATGGTACTACCACTCTAAAACCAGTGGCAACACACCAATTTAAAAAGCATCAAAATCTGAATGGGAAAGACTGCTGTTTTGTGGGACTGCCCTTTCTTTAAGAATGAAGGAGCATTCCAGTCTGATCTGCAGCAATAAAAAATGAACTTCAATAAGATCTCATCAGCTAGCCATTTATTAAAAATTGTTAAATGCCCAAACTCCTGGCTCCGAGAACTGCTCACACACAGCATCTCCGCCTTACCAGGATTCAATTTCAGTTTACTGGCTCTGATCTAGTCCACCACTGTGTCTAGGCACCAGTCTGGAACACCCATGGCTTCTCTTGATTCAGGTGTTACAGAGAAACAGAGCAAGGTGACATTTGCACATTGTTGACACCACACTCCAAATCTCCTAATGATTGCCTCCAGAATCTTTCATATGGATGTTAAGCAGCACTGGGGGCAAAATAGTCTCCCAAGGCATTCAAGAACAAAGTTTACAGAGCGCAGGCACATAGTCATTCTGTGCTCTTCTCTGGACCAGCCCTGCAGATTTGAGTGGGACCACGGTAAAACACTGTCGCGTGGGTTTGTGGGAGTATTGCACAAGTCATAGCTGTCAACTTTTTCCTTTTTTTAAGGGAAATCCTATTTGGAATAAGGGAATTTCCCTTTAAAAAAAGGAAAACGTTGACAGCTATCGCACAAGTGTCAAAATGTATAGGAAGCATTCTTGGACTGATAATGTGGAAAGGAGAAGAAGAAAAATTTTGAAGTTATTAATATAGTGTTGAAAGCACTTTGCACACATTATTTTCATGCACCTTAGAACAAACCTGCAACTCTTATTACCTCCATATTACAGGTTTGGGGAGGGCTGTGAGGAAGCAGTTTGACTTTGGTCCCCAATGAGCTGAGATTTGAATCAGCACTGTGTTGCTCATGCTGTTAACTACTCTGCCACACTAGCTCCCAATAATTATTTGGGGCTGTAATCTTATACACTTTTATCTGGGTATATCCTATTGTTATCCAACTTAACCCATACTCAGATACACCAAAATCAATAGACTTGAGTTACTTATGCCCATTTATTTCAACAGGTCAACTCTGAGTATGACTAACATTAGATTTCACCCAATGCCAACTTCTGAGTAGATCTATACAGAGTTGCACTCTGAGGGACTTAAAACTGGCAAAGATCATTTGAGATTTTTGCTCTTACACATACGACTGTATCACACTCCACTTTAAAAGAAGCCCCAAAGATTAACTGTTTCAGTGAGAGTTCCAGAACATGTCTTGAGATTGTCTTCTCCCAAGGGCAGAGTTTGCTTTGGCCCCCAGAAAAGGGCAAGAAATAAGCTACTAGATGGGAATGTAAAGGAATCACCCTGTTATGTATAGCCACAGTGATTTTATGTGCAATTTTGCTTGGAGTATGGCTGGATTTATACACCATGCTCTGGGGAACCTGAAAAATATGCCTAAGAAGTTAATCTTTTTAAAATCTTATTTCTCAGGGAAGTTCTGCTAAGAAAGCCAGCTCTGAGTCTGGCATATATGAGTGAGAAATGAATACATAAAAAAGAAAATGAGTAACGGTGAGGGAAAGATGGTGTAATTGAAGAACAAAGAGGCAAAGGTCACTTATACACTAGCCATTTAATATGGAGCAGACATAATCTCTTCACTCAGTTTTTACAGAGAATTTAGATGACAGCATTTCCAACTCAATGTACTCCAGAATTCTTCATATTGTCCTCCCACCTTTTTCAGATCTGAGCTGTGATTTTTAAAAATAGCTTGTATTTTTTAAAATAAAAAAATAAAGATTACATTTAGTCTGTACATGCTATATAGCCATAGTAACAATAAAAAACACTACATCAATGGAAAGAAGCTTTCCTACCACTGTATATTCTCCTGCATTCTAGTACTATAAAGCACCCCTACTCATTTTGTTAAAATGCAGTTCAGAATGGCATTGAGCCTTCTTGGGGCTACTGTCTCTTTAATTTCCCTCCATTCTTTGTTTTAAAGTGACTTCTGCTTCTGGCTCTTACATTAGTCAGTTCCTGTTCCTTGTGTGGTTGGTGATAATTACTAGTTTTGTCTTTGCAATCAAAGCAAATGTTAATTCTATTATCACAATTACATGGTTAAGGTAATAAAAAATAAAATTTCTAAAAAGCAATTACTCCAGCTGAAAAGAAACCCAAAATAAAACCGCCTCCCACAGATAACAGGAACTGATTAGTCAATAACCAAGAAACATTGTGGCCACAGGAGAGAACAGAAAGAAATTTTAGTTTTAAAGGGCACTAGTGTGGAATGTGTCTGGAACTGCAGGCTGAGGAACCACAGCTCATCAAGTTTCACTTGTGTGTTTATGTTTATGTCCGTACTTACCGAGAGGAATGCATGGACTATGTCAGCCTTGATAGAACTCAGCGGTTTGTCCTTAATAACCACAAAGATCTGTTCTTCTTTCTCTAGGTTGATAAAGTTACCAAACCAGGATTTTTTGGCAAGCCTGACCAATCCAGGAGGGAGAGAAAGAAAAGGCGAAAAAACAGAAAGTAAAGAGAAGATTTAGAGAAGAAAAGCACAGGCAATTATAATACACAGCCAACTAGGCCTTAGCTACGCTGTGTGTAATGGTATAAGTCATTGTGTCAAGAGAGTCATATTTGCTCAGAGACAGAAAGCACCCCAGTGATGCATTTGGCTTTACTACAACAGTATGTACAGTTGGAAACAGAAGACTAGGTACTGTCAAGTAAACCTAGAAGGGCAAAGGCACTAATGGATACAACCGTGAAACAGCTTTACAAGATACAGCAGGGAGCTGAATAAGGAGGACATTGGTAGGACTCTTTGTGTGTGCCACTGATATGCACACAAGCTGTCCATGCACACCCTGCTTTCTGTAAGCACTCTGCACATGAATGGAATGTGTTCTCTGGCACCCTAAAAATCCAGCGTGCACTGTGCTCATTGACAGCCTCCTGGAAACTCATTACAATGTCTAGTCCTGAGGTTATTTAATCTATAGTAATATCACACATTTAAGAGAGAAATGTTTTACACTCTTAGCTTTCGAAAGCAAGCTGGCTTTAAAAAAAAAAAAAAAAGCATCTACATCTGCCTGCCTGCCTAACAGAGGAAAAGAAAACAATCACAATTTGGCAAATCTCTCCCAGTTCCTCTGTTAAAACTGGGTTGGGAAAGCACAACTCTCTGAAATATTAATAAGCAGCTGTAGCTGACCATAAGCCAAAGATTAGCATGGGGAACAGTAAAGAGAAAGGGCCACTCATTTAAGTAGGCTATTAAGAAGCCTAAGCTTTTGTCTTCCTCAAACACACCAGAATGACTCTGTAGGCCTCAGAACAATTATGCTGTCTGTTCCTTGCACATTAAAAGCCTTTGCTGATTAGATATTTATATGTATAGTTATCCATCCAACTGCCCCAGTCCCTTCAGACTTCAGGTTGCTTCAATACACCTCTGAATAGAAACAAATGAAGGATGGAGCAAGTGCTTTTTCTAGCACAGGTACATGGACCACACAGCGGGTGCATGCTGCTGGATATGTCCACAACCCACTAAACACATGCTACCTTTCCATATGCCACAATATATACATTTTAATAACTGGGGTTTATTTCCTTCTCTCATTTAAACAGGGAGAGACAATTCTAGCGAAATCCTCATGGGTGGGTTGCAGAGTTTTTGATGAACTTACTTTACTTCTGTGGTGGATGAGGGGTGTTTTTGATGGTCCTTTCATTCTGCAAAGCTAGCTCACCAATGGCCTGTGCCCTGCAGCCTTCCTGCGCCCTGCAGCTTTCTGCAATTCAGTTACAGCTCAGGGAAAGGCATCATGAGGTAACTCCTCCCACAGAGTTTTTCCAAGTTAGGAAGCAGGGCAGCTGAAGAGGCTGCAGTGTGCTGGCAAAATGTTTACAGAAAATAAAAGGAAAAATGCAATCCTACCCTGCAATAAAGCAAGCTTAAAACTCAAGGAAATTCTCAAGTCTCCTGAGAATGAGGTGGAAAAAAGGAAAAGATATTTTGCAAGGAAAGAAAACTTTGGAGAAACTGAAGGAGAGTTTTTGGCACAGCACTAGTCTGCATGATCTAAGCAGTGCTGCTTCCAACAGAGAGAATAAGTGCTATCCGAAAAATTATTAACTCTACACAGGGGGAGGAAAAAAAGGGTGGGAGCATGCAGCCTCAGTTATTCAAGATTCACGGCACAATTTTCTAAGCATGTTTACTCAGGAGTAAACTCAGGCCACTGTGTTCAATGAGCCTTACTCCCTAACAAGTGTACTAAGTAAAAGTTTTTTAAATGAAATGGTACACTGCTTTCTTTTTAAAGTGCTGCCAACCAAGCAAAACATTGCATTAGAGAGAAGCGAAACTTGCTTTCCCAATAAGGCCTTAAGCATTATGAACATTATGAAATTGACATTAAAAATATTGAAGACCATTTTGTAAAATTAAAAACTGGCATATTTCAATTGCCTCTGAGCCGTGATAAAGGATGTACGGTATCCATTCTGACACTTCATATAATCACAAGAGTAGGGGCTGTTCTGAAATGAATGTTTTAATTCACATCCAATGGTAGGAGATTTAAAAGAAAACCCCATTTTAAAAGAAGAAGAAGGGATAAAAAGGTGCATACTGTTGGTAAAACTGTATCTCATGAATGATCACCAGGAATAAAGGTTATAGGGGCCTGCTTAAGCTTCCACTGATACCCTGGAGCCTGTAACTGCTTGCAATACAGAGTTCTTCTGATGAGATACAAGACAGAATAGATTCTTGCGAGTTCTCCTGATGTAACTGTGCTGGGTCTGCAGGGCAAAGAGGCATAGATAGTGGCACTGATGTTTTATAATGAAGGAGGGAAATTCAGCAGACCTGGCAGAATATCCATATTGCATAGACTTATCAGGTACTAGTTTAACAAGTAAGGGTTGGGGGCAAGGAAGGAGAGATTTATATACACCAGTGGCTCAGTTAGTTTGGTGTATTCCTAGATACTCGTGTGATCAAAGTAATTCCAGAACTATATGGTACATATTCCTATTGACTGTACCAGTGGGTCTGTAGATACTATTGTCTAAGACCACCCCATTCAGAACCTGCAGTCTTACAGCTTACTCACTGTCTGGACATATTGTAGATACATCAGCTGAAGGCTAAAGTAATAATTTTTTAAATAAAGTGAAGCAGTATGTATGGGAATCTGAATTCTGATTGGGTTTAGCACCCTGCACACTCAGGCTTGAATCCTGAGGGTTCCCTAGATTCATTACTGCAACTCATATTCCATTTTGTGGGGGCTGTTGGGATCTTTCTAGACCAATCTGCACATAGAACAAGAATCAGACAAGACCCACTTCTCAACAGAGGACCCTGCAACGGTCCCCCCAAGCACATCTTAGGACCCAGAAAATCAGTGTACCCGAAGAGAAACCTTAAGTCCCCAGCACAGGAAAATGGGAACCCTGAGAACTGGGGGATCTGGAGGATCCTTACCTTAACCCTGCCATTCTGGGTCCTGCTATGATCTGGGTCAGGGATAGTATTCCAAATGTTGGACTACAACCCCATCAACTCCAGCAAAATGGGCAGGGATGATAGGTCCTGTAGTGTGATATCTGAAGGTTCTATATTGGCTACCTTGTAATTGCAATTCATATATTATCACCTCAAACCTAGATGAATGTAATGGGAAGAATTCAGCGTGGTGCTAGAGAGATTGTTCTGGTGTAAGAATCTCCCCTTCTCCTGCCATGCTGTTCTGGTGGTTCTCCACCCTCCCCCCAATTGGGGCAGGGGGAGGATGGGGGTCAAACTTCACTGCTCTAGTGGAAGTCCTTATGCGGGCATCTGCTAGCAGGACCGGTTAGTTGAATCTGGCCCAACGTTTTACTTTAAAGGTGGGTTGGAATTTCCAGATTGAAAGCTGGCTGTCATATTCAGCACTAGCAGTGCTCCCAGTTGCTGCACTATTGCTTTAGGGACATAATTCAGGGTGCTAATTTTGATATATAAAGCCTTACCCCAGTAGCCCTTAAAGGCCACCTCCTCCCTTATGAAACTCCCAAGATTGACTGAGGTAATCTGTTTAGCAATACAATCGATGGGTGAGATTCAAACAGTAAGGGAGCACAGGGAGATATTCTCAGTGGCTGAACCACAACTGCAGAACTCTCTTCCCTTGAAAATGTTCAGAAGCCCAAGACAGGATGTTGTTGGGAAGCATTGTTCTACGGCCTTTCCCCCTTTTTCTTTTGGAAGGTAGGGTGTCATTACTGACTTAGGAGATGGTTTTGGGGGTTTGATAATGAAAATAACCCTAAAGGAAGGAGAGTGAAACATAAAAAAGAAGTAAAGAGAAGAATACACACTGGGGGCAACCTTAGGATTCAGAGAAAAAGCTTGCACAACATATCTGAAGGGCAGGAAGTCCATAGGGGGAAAACAACCTTGAAAAACACTGCAGAATCAACCTGACATCTATCTTAAGAAAGGTTTTCCACCCCAAGAGATTGGTAGAAAGCAACAAGGTGTACTGGAGAAAGTACGCAATTTTACATCATGTTGTAGACAAACAATGACAATCATTCTCTATATCTAAAATAAACCCATGGATTTAAACAGAATTGTCTCTCTGTTGACCAGTGCTGCAATTCTATTTCCACTTAACTAGGAGTAAGCCACACTGAATTCAACAAGACTTATTCCTGAGTAGCTATGTATAGGATTGCATTGTAAAACATGCTTATACACCATCTCAGTTTGTATTAGAGGCTCTAGCTTCTACAGGGGATTTCTGAAGCCCCTATGGGCTAAATTCTAAGTCAAAATACTAGTGGACACATACATACAGCCCAGTTCAAACAAGTCCCATGATTCAGGACTTTGCTGAATTGAGGCCCTGCTGCAAATCAGCATAGCTCCATCATCTGGCACACATGGTGCAATGCTTTTTTCTTTTTTAAAATGTCAGATTTATAGAAGGTGATAGCAAACAGAAACACCAAGAGAATAAAAGTTAGGCAACCACCAATTCCATTATGTTTCTATTGGCTTGTGGCTCAAAGGCAGCTCTCTCCATGAATTGCTTCCTGTGCCTGCAGTCCTGTACACTAGGGAAGGCTAACCTTTTTTATGCCCAAGGGCTGCGTTCACCCTTGGCCAACGCTGCAAGGGCTGCATGTTGTATACTAGCAGTGAGTATGGCCACCCCATATTCTCACTCACCAACACAGGTAGGCAAAATGCCCTCCTCAGCTGGCCCATGCAGATCAGCTGAGAAGGTTGATTATTATCCCTCCCCGTTCATATGACCCATCTGATGACTGGAGTGGGAAGATTTGCTTACCCAATAGGGTGATGAGTCTACTTTAACAAGATACCAATGAGAAAGATCACAGAGTTTTGCCTAAAATGTGTTTGAAACCTGTTCAATGTATCATTTTTATGGTAGTTTTTGGACTCAATCCCCAGGTCTGTGCTGCCACAGTAGAATATGGTCCCTGTCACCCGCAGATAAAAAAGCATTATATATATATATCTATCTATCTGTGAAGTTGACCAAGGTGCTTTAAAGACCTTTTGTTTACATATTTTTCTTATATCTTAAGTTCCTTTGCATTAACAGATACGTCCTCAGGATAAAGACTGAACTAGCAAGTAATGCTAGGATCCCACTCTAGTTATCCTTTTACATCTAATTGTTCTAGAATGTGTATGGATAGAGAATGTGAACTAGTACAATGTGGCAAATGCTTCTCCAGTTTCTTTGAAGTCTTCTTCCCCTGTGAAAGAGGCTTCCATTTTTCTGTCTCATTCTCAGGGCACTAGAAAAACAATTTCTTTCAAATTTTGGTGGGTATTGAGATTTTGAGCTAACTTTATTATTGCAAGGTAGCGGAGGTTGGTATGTGTAAACCTTTCTGCAGCACTCTGCAATCTCCCCAGCTGCCTGTGCTTCCTAATCTGAAAAAGGCTCATGGGAGGAGTTATCTCATAATGTCTTCTCCTGAGCTTTAACTGAAGCATGGACACCCGGGAAGGCTGCTGGAGTGCAGACACCACTGGTGAGATGATTTGTGGAATGAAAGAAAGGACACCTAAGAATATCCCTTGGCCACTGCAAAAGTAAGGTGAGTACAGTGAAATCACGGCACCCAAACAATAATAATTTCACAGATATGTTCCATCTCCTCTGATAATTTTCATATGTAATTTATTTTCTCAATAATTGATGGGAAGGATAAAGCTGATTAGCCATATCTGGGCATTCAATCCACATGGCGACAGTTGCGCGGAGTGGGAGAGGACTGCTGTGCAGAACTGCCCCCCCCATCGTATCCTCAACAGCCCATTCCCTGTTGTCCATGCGGTGGGAATAATGCCTGCAGAGGGGATGCTCATAGGCTCCCCGCCCCCAATTTTTGGTTCTAGCTCATGGAGGGGGCATATGTGCAACGAGCAAACTTTAAACATGCTCACCAACATGCAGGCAGACAGCAGGAGGGAGGTCCTGACTGAGTTGTGATGGTAGGGCCAGGGCCAGTAGGTATGGCTCTGCTCCCCTGCTCCACACCATTATATACGATATCTTTATTGTCATTGTCCCATGCAGAACAATGAAATTGAAATATAATTGCCCAAACAAGGCAACTGGAAGCTGACTTTAAAAAACACGCACATGAAAATGTTTTGGACGGAGGTGCCTGTTTAATGTTTGTAAAGGTTAAAATATTATGCACAATTTGGATTATTATCAAATTTTTCTTCTTAAATACATGTACTGCTAAACAGAATGTTAAAAAGCAGATGGAGTCATGCTGCTTTACACCAGAAGGGGATATGGGCTTATCCATTTCTATGAGCTTATCTAGGCTTTCCCACAAATAAAATGATACACATTACCTAGACATGTCAAGGTATAATATCCAGTCCTCAGAACTGTTAAACGAATTAGATTCATTAAAAGATGCAGCAACAGAGTAAGGAAGCACATTTATGCAACATTTCAATCATGGGGCCACTAAGGGCTCTTCTGCGACGGAGACATCTTGCTCTCAGAGCAAAAACAATACAGAACTTTAGAGTGGCCACAGAGCATAAAAGCACGGACGATTAAAATAAAAACGCAGTTCATTATTTTTTACAACTTTTATTATGTTTACTGCAGGGTGCCATCCAATTGAACTCATTAATTCAGCAATTATATTGGAAAGGGGGGAAAGGCCTTAGGCTTTGAGTTGCATCCAAACTGCCTACTAAGAATGCCTTTACTTCTACCCGGCAGTTCTTAAGAGAGAGTGAGGCACAGAGAAAGGCAGCACATTCACAAAGGATCTCACACAAAAAGAAGGGGAGAGAGAAGGAAGAGAGAATATGGTGGAAAAGAAAGAAAAGGATCCCATTAAGTCCCTTCCACCACTCTTTACTGCCCTGACTGCTGTTGCATCAGGGTTGCACTACTCAGTTTTCACACTTCAAAACGGCAAGGGCCATATCACCATCTCCAGTTAAGAGAGCTTCCCGGTTCAAAATTTAATCTAGAGCTCCTGATTATTTCACTCTGTGCCTTAACCAATATAAGATCATTTCAGCAGCCAAGAAAGCAGCAATCTGGAACGTAGCAGAAAATGCTGTGCAAATTATGGAGGATTATTTTGCACTTAAGAGTGCCTAGAAGGGAATCTCTGGAGAAATGTTCACAGGCAAAGTACCCCAAAAAGGCATTTAGTCATATGTAATTCTTCAATGACATTTTTGTTAAAATTACTTTGGGTCTAATGCAATTGAGAAAACACATTATTTCTGAATGGCTACTGTATTTCCTGTGTAGCCCTTTCTGACCTGTTATAGAAACTTCCATCCCTACACCAGCTTCCACCTTCTACTGTATGAGTTACTTCCTACTAGGCTCCAAAGAAAGTCAGAAAGGTCAGCAGTTCACTGTGACTTTGAACAATATATGAAGTCAAGACACTGCTTAAGTTTTCCAGGCTGTTTGCTCTATTGACCCCAAAGAGAGACACAGGGTCCAGTGTATGTAATATTGCTTGAAAAAGCTATTCACTAAAGCCTATGGAAAGGAATATGTTAAATACATGAAGAATTGGATGATGGTTTTCCTTTTTAAGACTTTTCCTATGAAGTGAGGGTGGAGAGGAATGCACTGAAGGACTGAAAAAAATTATGCACTAGTTTTTGTTTTCTTAAAAATCCTTATCAGACAAACAACCCATTTGTTTTCTTGAGCACCTGCAGTTTCCTAAATCAGGAGTAGCTAACCATTATCAGGCTGTGGGCTGCACTGACCAATGGTCAACACCTGGGGGATAACGTGTCCAAGTGTAAAAATAGCCAATTGATTTTTTATAGAGTCAAATTGTGGGGAATCTTTGGGTGAGGTCACAAAGGTCTTTTGCCATGAGAGAATCAGAGTGGAAAGAGCAGTCAGCAACTTTAAAAGAATTAATGAGACTTTTCTCTTTTTGAGTGGGGTGGCGTGGGGGTGGGAATTGGAAGCCACAACAATATTCAGCTCCATAGCATAACAGCAGGAGATTCACAAGAACAGTAATTAAAAACAAAAAACAAAACACTGTTTATTTTATTTTTTTAAATGACAAATTTTGGGTGTCCAAAAACTCCTCTTGGGGAGTTGTATGAGTCCTATGCGCTAGCTACCCTTGTCCTAAATGTATCCCTTAACCTAGCACTACCCTTGAGGGGGTATATTAACTGCCCTGAAACCTTGTTTGTGACCTGCTGCAACCAGAGTGGTATGAATTCATTTGTTAGGAGTGCTAGATAAAGAACATTCTGTCCCACTCTGATCTATTGTCAAGTACACAGGAAACAAATCGGTGCTGATACTAATAGTACTGTAGTGAGTTACTTACTCTGGGGAAGATTCTGGAGTTAAATTCGACATCTCTTCTGGCGTTGGTACTATATATACATACACAGACAGAGACAAAGCATAAGAGGAGGAGAAAAAGGAAATGCTGATTCCCAATTCAAAGTCAATAAACGTGGAATCAAAGTTCACACAGAATATATTTCAAGCACTTCATTGTTTTAATATCAAATAACTTATTGTTTTAATATCAAATAATTGACCCACACTGCTCCTATATCCACATGTACCTAACTTGAACACTTACATACTGAGATTTCATAGTTTGGCCTGGGCTCTTAAACTGTATCTATTCAACTTAGAATTGATGACTGTTGTGAAAGTAATTTGCAGCATAATTGTATCTGCCAAGATGTCTGGGGCTGATTTTTACTAGTAGCATTGAAATAGTTCTATAATGCACAAAAAACTAAAAACTGGTATGCTGCACACTTAGCCCTACAATGCTTTGATTATGTGCAAAGTCTGTAGATGGAATATTATTACCCTTTCCCCTTGATACAGAGAATAAGAAATCTGCCATATACTACAGCAGACATTTCAGCAAAGATACAAATGAGCTGGAATGCTGAGCTGTGGAAATTTCCTATTTGCATATTTTATCCAACCTTGAATTAGGAAAGAAAAGAGATTTCCAGTAACAGACAGGAATGTATTTGCTCATAAACATATAAAGCAGTAATTGTGCCTTATGCAACCTCTATTAACATGAGTCCTCATGGAGTCCCTCTCCATCCAAAAAACAACAACAATGCACATCAGTGAAGACAGCACCTTGCTCAGAACTCTGATCATTACTCGCTCCGACATGAAAGGAAGCTGAAGAAGGGAACTTTGTAAAGTACTTTGTGTGGTTCATGGAGCTGGGTTAATGTTATTTTGCCATATCATTAATACTACAAATACAAAATACTGAAAAGACTATGGGCCTCAATGATATGGGCCTCAATGATTCAGCAAAAAGGGAGCGGCTCTAAGTTTTTCAGAGATGAGGTTTTTCATTTAATGCTGTGTCATAAGCAACATGCAAGAGCTTCAGTTAATCATGCTTTGTACACACACTTCTATATAATGCTGGCCTATTAAGCGGTTCCCTGTAATGAATACTGGGAGGGAGGACTATCTCCTTAGAACAGATACCAATGAGGTCAATTGATAAATACTGCACAGGGCAAAGTTGTAGCAAGAATTGTGCAAAAACCCACTAATCATGTAATAGGGTATAAATAAAGTCAGCCTGGAGCTATATTCTGCATACATCAGTTCTTCCACGAAGGGTGTCAATTCTTTAAAAAACCATTTTATCTCTGAGGACCATATAGCATCTTTGTTGACTTGTCTATATCTGTAGGTCTGTCTTCATGAAGAGTGAACTTTAAGATTATCTCCTGTTTTGAATCCTTCCCAAACCCTAGGCATCAATAAATTAAAAGTGCTCAACTTTCTCAGAAAACGTGTAGTGGCTGCCTTAATCTTGAATACATATAGAAATGCAATATGATAGGTGTTTCTTGAAGATCTGGGCCTATGAAGGGGGTGGGAATCATGTCATGAAATAACTATAGATGGAACCCATTGTTTTCTATGGGTTTTCCTAGCTTTCTAAAAGCTGTGTCTCAAATAAATCTTAAGGTATCAATTAAAGAAATAAAAACATGTTCAGGAACAATTTAACTGGAGGGAGATGTTTTTACCCTGCTTCCACATGCGGGCCACCTCTGATTTGGAGAAGCTCAAATCTGAGGAATATAATTGAATCTGCAAGTATTGCACACAGCAGCTCTATTTGCACATACTTCTAAGTCATTGTTTGTTTTAACCATGGTTTCTTCAGCAAATCACCAGCAAGCTTAGATTAGTAAGCAAGCCATGGTTTGCTTCTCCAAAGCATGGTTTGTTTTCCAACTGCTCTTGCCTCATGCTTTTGTATCTTAGTGAGTGTCTGGCCACACACATCATGATGAAGCAAATCTACTGAGTTTGGACACAATGGTTAAAACAAGCCACAATTTGAAAGCCAAAACAAACCATGGTTTCACACACTTGTTTGCCAGGAAACAAACCATGGTTAGTCTGCTAAGATGGACCCAGATATTCAAAAAGCCACACTTTGGCTAGGCAAACCATGGTTTAGTGACATGTGTGAACCAGGCCAGTGTGTGCCTCAAGTCAGAAACAACTGTAGAAGCGCAATGCAAGTACCAAAGTCATGAGTAGAAGGCACAGGATGGAGAGATTGGATAGTATAACACTTGTAATCTTAGTATAAAATCTGGTACTTTTGTCTTGTTCAGGTAGTCCAGGGATGTCCAACTTCCAAGAGACTGTGATCTACTCACAGTATATATATAAAAAAACTGGCAGTGATCTACCCATAGCTTTTGGGGGGGGATCGACCTGGGGGGTGGCGATCTACCTAGGACACCCCTGTGATCTACCAGTAGATCATGATCTACCTGTTGGACATGCCTGAGGTAGTCTACTGGGGGAGAGAGATGTATGAATAGAGACATATTTCCTAATGATGACCCATGTGAGAAGAGGTCTTCTGTAAAAAAACTATATAATAAAATTCCATAGGTGTACTCCCTTAAGTCAACGGTGCTTTGCAGCTTGTGCACCTTGGTAAATAATTACTGACAACACTATATGATGGGAGTTGTAGCCCTGACAAACCTCTGCATTACACTTAGCTCTTGCTTCTCAGTGGGCTCCATCTTCCATCAAGCATCACAAACAGTATTATGACTTGCAGAAGCCTAACTAGGTTTTCCTGCTGAGAAAATTTAAAATTGGTTTTCCAAGCTCAGGGTCAGGGAAAAAAAGGGGGAATGAAGTTCATATGGTAATTGACACACACTGGAAGAATTGCAACGTGTTCATTGTTTGGTTAACAGCAGTGAAACAGCAACTTTCAAATTTCCTTCTATACTCTCTGTATTTGCTATTTACTAACCAACCACTCTTTACACTGATATGTACTTCTACCTGCCAACCTAACACCACCGCATTTTGAGATCAGATGTACCTTGCAATTTCCTGCGATGGAAGCGTGGAGATCCCAGGAAGCTGTTCTTGATCGAGTTGAGCCGTGTTCTCCAGGGCATTCCTCCAATGCTGGGGCTGGATGGTGGCGTAGGGTTGGGTGTGCCTGCTGGGCTCTCCTTTGGCGTATGGACAGGTGTCCCCTTGGGGGTAGGGAGGGGACTGCCCCTTGGAGAGGGGTGAGGGGTGACCTGTATGATGGGGATAGATTTGGTGCTTGGGTCAGTACTAGAAGGGAGCAATCTAACAGGAGACATAGGGTTGGTTTGCATGGTAGGAACAGCCAGCTGCGGGCTAAACCCAGGAGCAGGTGGACGGCCCTGAGTGTTCTGTGCAGGAGAATTTGGGGAAGGAGGGACTGTAGCATTGCTAGAGGGCAGGGGATTGGATTTGGTAGACTGGAGTGGTTTTTCAGCCAATCTGCTCTTGGATGGCAAAGTCTGTGTCTTTGGATTGGGTTGAAGTGCTGGCTTTGGCTGGAGAACATGTCCGGGCCTGGAAGCATTCCTACAAGCATCGGAGTCCAGGGAGACTTGGGGGCGGGGGGTGAAAGGGAGGTCAGGAGTCTGAGGGGGGATGAAAAATTTTCTGATAGGCTACAAGATACACACAGAGAAAGTACCCATGCATTTCAAGAAAAGCAAAACGCACACGCACATACGCACAAAGTGGGTGAATAGAGAAACAAAGCCCATTTGAGTTGCGGTTGTGAGCCACATCACAAGGAGATCAGAGTTATGGAGGTGAGGGTGAAGGAGGTGGGGGGTTAGGGAATTGCAAAGAAACAAAAAACAAACACAAACAAAAAACAAAAAGACATGCAGTTAGCTGGGAACACAGCATAGTCAACAACAGCAGCAGTGGCGGTAGTGAAAACAACAGTTTTGTCACAAGCTTCATCATATTAACCAACCATGTGTCAGCAAATAAAAAAACCACAGAGCAAAAACTAACATGAAGGAAAAGAAAATAAGAAACTAAAAGGGTGGGCAAGGGAGGGGAAGCAGCAAGAGAGAGCAAGAGAGAGCGAGAGAGAAAAGGCCGTACCCCTGAGCTGTTCTGACTGTCTCACAGATAGAGAGAGAGAGAAGACCAGGGCTGAAGGGAGGTGAGGAAGGGGAAGGAAGCATCATTCAAGCCACAGGGGAACCTGACACGTAAGCATGTAAGGCTGAGTGTGCCCTCTCTCCCAGCTCAAAACGTCTACCACAATCAAAAACAGCAAGGAAATGTAGATCAAAATAACATGTGTGCAGCAGGTAATGATAGAAGCACACAGATTACTACACACGTCGACTCTCCTCAGCCAAAGCACCACAAGTTTCAATAATATGGAGAGAGGGTGTGGGTGAGGCTGAGGAGGGAAAAGCCTCTATCATTTCATCACTATTCCTTTCCTGGCCTTCCACCCAGAGGGAGCCAGTTTTCTCTGGCAGGCTTTACTATATGAAATCTTAACAGCTCATGGAACCATGGGCCAGTTTGGGCTTCAAATTTTAAGAGATCGTGGAACTACGGCCACTTTAGGGTTTAAGTAAAATACCCCAAGGTCACCAAAGAAGGTTTGCTTTCTAAGTGCCCCTATTACATCTAAGTCCTCCCGTCATCAGACAGTCTTATACTTTTAAAAAACATAAGAGAAAAACATTCCTCAGTTTTTATGACACAGTACCAGAATTCCATTCTGTGACTGATCATTGTGTTTTATGCAGTAACCCCCCCCAAAAAACAATTCATAATCAGCCATAAATGAAGTCAGAAAAGGGGATTATGTTGTTTTGTAAAACAACAACAAAACTTAAATAGCAAGTGTTAGAGTCAAGAACAGTCCCAGAAAAACTTTAAAATAGAAATTCAATACACTCAGGGAACAAAATGCAAAAAAGAATACTGTTAGAATAAAAGTATTTTTTAAAAAAATGCAGAACATATTCCTTTCATAGAGAATGGATTAGGAAAAAAGTAACAATAAAATTGTATTTACTGTTCATTTGTGAATGAGTGCAAGCTCATTAGAAGAATCACAAATGTGTAACAATGTATTGCCCTGCAGTTTGGGCAATTAACTTATATAAGAAGTGAAAATTGCATAAAACTGTGATAATTGCATATAACTGTATGTAAGAACAGAAGCTGAATTGACTAAGAACCGAAGAAGTGTAAATGAACTGGTTCCCTGCCTGCATCGTGTGTGTGTGTGTGTGTGTGTGCGTGCAGGTGTGCGTAACTATTTGTGTAACAGAGGGTGGGGGAACGTGCGCATGCCTGTAGGTGTAGTGAGGATACATGCTGTTTGTGTGTGTTTTGTATGGTGGTGAGTGTGCTTGTGTGGAATGTATGTCTGTGGTGTGTGCATGTAGAAATATGCATTGGCCACACCCATTATTGGCATGCATCCCTTAGAGAAGTACCTGACTTTCAGCACTACCCTTGAGCCAACATTATTTTAGCCACCCGTGAGTTAAAACATATATTTAGACAAGCTACTGCCTGTTTTTTAAAAAAGAACCAATCAAGCTTTGGCTTGCCAAAGGACTAACAAAAAAGGGCCTGTTCAAGCAGACTCTCTAAGACTGCACAATTTCTTACTTCTTCGGAATGATTCTCTTTCTGCCCCTCAAACCCAAGCGACTTTCAGCTTCCTTACTGGAACATCCTAATCCAACTCTGTATGATTCTTGTTCAGACTAGAGTTCATTGTTTTTCCAGCTTTCTTCAGCTGTGCTATCCAGTCCCAAAGTAGCTCTAGCTGTTATGGTTCAGTGCCTCACCATGGGCTTGCAATAAGCCGCAGATGTTTTCTTCAACGTATGATAAACTCTCTTAACAGGGTTATATACGTTGGCATCATGTTAGGCCACAATGATACCTTAGGTGGCAACGATGCCAGAAGACAGGCAGCCCTGCAGAAGGACCCTATTCCAACATTCACAAACAGCAAGCTGTGCTTTATAACTGCCCCACATCCCTAGCTAACAAAACCACCATTCAAAATGGGGAAAGAGATATTAGATGTCATCGAGCTCACATGAGAGAGTAGTTATAAACCATGACCCTAAATAATCTCACTTACCCTTGGACTGCTGAGTGGGCTGGTCGACAGGCCAGAGGAAGCTCCACTGATTGAGCGAGACCTGAGTAAACACAACAGGAAGACAAGGCCCTGAGAAACCCCTGTCAAAAGACACACCACCCTGCTGTGCCAGCCACCACCATATTAAACCTCTGCATTAAGTTGTGGCTCACATTTCTAACAAGAAACTGCATATATAGCCGACATTTGTTTTCAAAGGGCAGATGTACATGAAGATGCCCATCCCTTTGTTCATCAGTCTCACGTTTTATAATAATATTTTTTTATCTGTGTGCATCTGGAAATACCTCCCTTATAAGATCCCCATCCTATCCCCCATGATCTCACTCTGAAGGAGCTTTTATCTCTGTTGTAAAGATCAGGTAAAAAGAGAAATGTCTGGCAAGGAAAGAAATAGACTGCACTGCTGCAGCTGTTTTTACAATGGCAGACCAACAAGTATATAAATCACCTATTCTCCTGTTGGTTGAGAACACCATCATTTTGAAATCAGATGGATCTTTCTTAACCTTCCATTTAGGAAATATTTTTTTTCCACTGACTAGCAAGGTATTTCATATGAAATCATTGGCCCATATGTTTACAGGCACAATACTACTTCCAAAGGCCTCAGCCCCTTGCTATCACCATTCATCAAAATGATTATGCATAGATAAGTGGCTCAGAAACAGCATGGAATTCACACGGCCGAATACAGAAGCAAAGGAGCTCCTTGTCAATCCCAGTTATCAATGCTAACACACATTACCAAAGATATTTTCACGTCTCCGGTTACGTCTAATGTCTGAGAAAAACCTACATTGGCTTTAAATAATGCACATTCAAAGTTTCCTCCTCTTTCATTTCCACATCAGCACCATTGATCCATAGTACAAATCAAAAGCATGTTCGACAGCCCCATATGTGAAAAATGTTAAAGAAATTGCCAGCTTATGTTGGCATTTCTTGAAATCTTTGGCTTGACCTTCCTCATCTCTGCTGGAACCATGGTCTTTAAAAAGGATGATACAACAATGGAAGCAAACCCAGTCAACAAGATAATATGCAATATATCACTTAGTCCTAATCTGTATTGCAACCTTATGGTGGGGGGACTGCTTTCAGTAAAACAAATTAACGAATGTATAGATTTCTCAAAGAGAACATTTTGAGTCCGCTCATACAACTAGATCTATGACATGCAAGTTATAAGGTAAGAGATATATAATAGATGTATATATCTGTACATCAACAGGAAAACCTGGCTTGGAAAGAGCTTTTAAGCTCTCCACCCTGTGTGTGCTTAATGTGTATGATTTAAGCTGCTGGCTGGCAAGCACATAATGCTGAAATTGTGCAAGTTAAATGTGTGCAAGTTGCCCATACATACATATATAACTAGCATCAGATAGCAGGTCTACCATTTCTCATAAGGCATGGGCACTGGGTCTACCAAGATGAGCAGTCCTAGCCTCTACCCCGCTATTGCGTCTCAATGGGCAGATTTGCTAGCCATCAAAAGGTACATCTGGTGTCTAGATGACATCTTCTCACCCTTGACTAAAACCCTGTTCTTTCCCTGGCCTTTAATTAACTGCTGAAACTCTCCATTCTTGCCTTTTGTTGCTAGAATCAATTTCACAGCTCCCTTGCATCTCCCTAAAAAAAGATAACATGCCAGGAGACTAGTTAACTGCACTGAACAGTTGTTATTTGTCACCCCAATGCCCCCTTTCCCCCTGTTGTTGTATTGTTATAACAACACTGAGCTAAGCCATGTCCTCTCAGCCAGGCCCTCCCCCCACTTGCAATACAGGTTTAATATGGATGGACTTTATCTGTACTGGCAGGGTGTTATGTACTGAGTTGAATAGGATCCAAACTGCAGCAGTCTGATTGGTCCTAGAACAATAGGATCCAAAATGCAGCAGTCTGATTGGTCCTAGAACAATAGGATTCAGAATGCAGCAGTCTGATAGGTCCTAGAACAATGCAGCAGTATGATTGGTCAGCAGGAGCCACCCAATCCAGCTCCAGATAGAAGTGAATCCACAACCTGATTGGCCTACAGGAGAATTCCGGAATTAGCCAATCACGTGCAGCCCATTGTGTAAATAATGTATATAAAGCAGATACTTTGAGGGGACATTCATTCCCTCCTCACCACTATGAGCTGAATAAAGAGCATGAAATCACTTTGCGACTCTGAGTATATTTCACAGGGTTATTAAAAAACGTGTACAGCCCTGGGTATGCGTGGGTTACATTTTAGGGTATGAAACAAGTCCTTAGTTAGAAAGATGCTACCTTTTGGCGGGGTAGACACACTACTGTCCAGATAAAAGTGAAACAGGAAGTTGCTCCTACAACCAGTGGGTGTGTCATTCTAGCCTTCCTTTTGTCTAATTGGCTAGCTCTGCTGTCCTAAATGAACCACGACTTCATTTGTTAATGAACAACCCTATAAAGCAGGAGCTGGCTTGCTTTGTAAACGGGCAGAATTGGTGCCGACACATTTTGCTTCCTGTCTCAGGTTCTACAACAGCTAGAGAAGGATTTGTTTTTTAAAAAACAAACAAATCCGAAAGCTGATAATCTGGGAGTTATGGTTCAGCCCTCTGACACCTATGATGGGAGGCAGCAAATGTCAGCTCACTAGCTGTGTTTTCCTCATTGCCATGGCAGCAGGGATGCCTTCCTGAATTATCATGAGAACAAGGATCACGCACAGCTTAGGGGGCACTTTTAAAAGACTGGGGAGTGGCTGGCCAAGGATGATCCTCCCTTGGGTTCCAGAGGGAGTGCTGTAGATGTCCCCTCTCTTTGAAACCCCCCTTCTCAAGGCTGCTTATTTGTTGGAAGATCCTGAGGCCTGCATGCCTCACTCCACCAATGTGGGGATCAGCATGAGAAAGAATGAAACAAAGGCACATAGGGCAGAGAGGGATAGAGATACATAGTGAGGGGAGAGTTACATGCTGTGCTATTTATCAGCCAGGAAATTGGCTGTAGGCCTTTAGTGAATAAACTACAGTTTTATTAATCTAGTTTTAAGGCTTGCAGCTATAAAGAAAATGTTACACTTAAATACATCAAAGCTTGTTTATAAAGAATAACCTCCAAACTGAACCTAGAAGCATCCTTGTAGCTCCAATGCCTTAAAGGAAATGAAAATAAGAAGTGGGGTTTTGTATGTCTTACACTCCTGTCAGTATCACCTTTGCAGGTTAAGAAAACAGAGCACCCTAGCCACATTATTTAAAATTTCTGAAGGAAGGTTCTTTGGTGCTGTTCTTCACCCATCAGCCATCAGCAAAGAAACCAGGGGTCAGCTCCTTCTCATGAAACTGGCCCAGAGCACTGAGAATTCAGACTCAAGCAAAGACAGAGATCGTGCACTGGGCAGCAATATGGATTCTCCTTTTGGGGAAGCTCCATAGACACTATCACCAGCATGAGTAACCCGAGTAGTTACACTGGGAGGACAAAAATAAGGAATTGTGACACCTTACTTTGCTGAAAGGGTTTTTTTATCTATGGATTTGAAAGACAATTATTTAACAGGAAACATCCATTTGCATATAATCTTCACAGAATCTCTGGAGGAATTAAGGTGAGTCTTGTCTCTCATTATTCTGGTCGGGTAAATTTCTTACAATTGGTCATACTTTGAGCAGGTATCTTCTTTTGAGGGTTGAACATATTTTAGACACTCCTCTCCACCCCTAATGAGTGACACAGTGTGTTGTGAACATTTTATTACCATGAGTTTGTAAGAGCAGTATTGCTGAGAAATGCTAGAAGGTCATCATGGCAATGATGAGGCAATCCTGGCTCCATCTGTAAGCCAGAGCAGGAGCAGCTGCAAGGAGTTTGTCCTTCCCCCTCCCATGAATGAACAGCCTGCTCCAACTGCCAGGAACTTGGGGCTGCAGAATTGAAAAGAGCCACTCTCTGACCTCTTCCACCAGTCAAGGCAATCCTTGCCTCCCAGGAAGACTGTACAGGCAGGGAAGAGATCAGCCTGACCCCATACATTGGCCATTGAAAGAGCAGCTGCTTTGCTCTTTCCTTCCCATCTCTTTTTTCTTTTATATTATGTCTATATGATTGAAACCTGTGGACAGGGACTACATGATCTTTTATTAAATTTCAGGCCCTAAACAACAATAACAGCAACAACAACAACAACAACTCTGAATATGTGTCTGTTAGAAATTATACCAGAATATATGAAACATGTTTGATCCTTATCCTGCTTCACAGCAAAACTATTTTAGAAACTGGAAACATTTTTCACACCTGTAAAGGGAAAGGCCGTAGAAAGACCATGAATCATGGAATGTAAACAGACATGTGACACACAGTTCCACACGTCTGCTCCTTAAGGTGGAATGGAAATGTCAACACCTCTTCATCAGCCTGCCACATTCCTGTGTCTCACAGTTCCCCTTATGATGAACTATAGGCAGTTTGGTTTGTTAACTGGGCAACCAAATCTCTTCTGATGTGATTGATTTTTTAAAAATGCTTTAAATGATCTAACTGCCCCAAAGTGATTATTTCTCTCAGGATTCAATACAAACAAACAAAAACCTGTCAGCCCGCCCCCCCAGCAAATAAAACAAAAAAAGCAAACTGGTCAAATATGACCTTCAGGGTTTTGGGGGGTTTTGCTTAAGAAAGTGGAAAGGGGTCTTTCTGCTTCTATAATCTGCCATTCCCCAGGAAAGCAACAGTAATAAAAAAAGGACGGATATATGAGAGAGAGAGAGAGAGAGAGAGAGAGAGAGGTGTGTGTCTGGTGCCTTTTGACCCCAGACAGGACTCTTGTACCTTTGACACAGCTTAATAAATAGAAATTCAACAGGAAAAGCATTGCCTACTTTGTATCTCCATGCCAGAAAAAATAGCACCTGACAAATTTATGCTACTTTTTGTTGTTCTTGCATTTGTTAGAGGTAGAAAGGCCATGCCACAGCAGATTGCAGAAATTCTACTCAGGAATATGAGTAGGTTATGCTTGTGGATGTAGCATGAGGATAGGGTTTGAGAATTCTACAGAGTCAGGAGGTTCCATTCAGACTGGGGGCCCTTTCATGTACATTTTTAACAGCACCTCTGGGCTCTTTTAAAATTCTGAAAGTTGCCTGCTCAGTTTCATCACAGGGGATCAGTAGTCATGTTCCAAGTTGTGGAAAAATGTAAAATGCTAGTAGTTTTCAGCAGGAGGAGAGAAGGGTGTCAACATTCATGCCTTCTAGTGTTTGTTTAAGTAGAGGCTGGTGAGAGGGTGACTCAGATAAGAGAATAGGACTCTATATATTTCACTACAGGATCCTCTTTATGGATGTTTCACGTTCTAAAATTCTGTATGTGCACACGCATACATACACACATACAATATTCATGCCAGTAGGGTTTTGTGTCATTTGGTACAGCACTCCTTTTCTTCAGAAGGTGCTTAGATATTGGAAGCAGAGTCAGGATGATTAGACAATAGTGGAAGCAATGCATCCACAGAGACATATTGCTTTTGCTGTCACTGTGACTAAATAGGTGACAGAAAATTCACCACCATGGAATCCTGAAGCCAACTGAGCCGACCAAGCACCTGCTCTGAAACTGCAGCAGCTCCTTCTGACTATCAAGTTCCACATTTCACCTGTATCAGCCGTCATTTAAGCACATCCCACACCATGAAGACAATAAGGAGCTGCATACAAACTGCGGCCAGTTTGTTGATTAAATAATTTTATATCCCTCCCTTCCTCCCAATACGGTGCACAGGGCAGCTTACAACAACCATGTCGGCCATTCTGAGGCTGCAGTACCTTTTACCCAACCACAAAGGATGGCGGCACTTGGAAAAAAACAACCCTGTGTGTAAGTTCAATACAGCTTAATGGAGATGAGAAGGAACTGTTGCTATTGTGGTTGGCCTGATGCGGACTTTTCTGCCCAGCTGCTTGTTATATAAGTGTGAGAACTGGACATAGCAGGAAGAGATGGAGGCAGTTGGCTCTACTCTCTGCTGGCTCCCCTTGAGTCTCCGTTGATAGAGCACAGAAAGCAGGAAGGCCCAGCACCATGACCATGGCTATAAAGGTCTTGCTTTGCAGTTCAACTGCCAGGGGGCTTTTCTTTATTAGACATTATGCACAAAGCCATCAAAAGTCATATAAATATAAATTCATACCACAGGGAGGCTCCCCCATAGAACCTTGTGGCTTGACAACAGGTTTGGGGGGGGATCTGTGGTCCTCCAGATGCTACTGGATTACAAATACCATCAGTCACACACACACCCATACACCCACCCACCCCATCCTACACAGCATACGTTACATTTTAGGCTATGCCCTCAGTGTAAGGATGAGGTAGTTTTGTCAGTGGGCCAAGCAAGACATTTTTTTAAAAGAATGTAAAAGCAGCTGGGGGGGGGGGGAGGGGGCTGAGGGTAACTCTTCCCTCCTGCACTATTATCCTGGTCTAAGTTGCCCCCTCCAAAGATGCTATATGTTCTTTGAGGGGAAAATATAGGTTCCAATATAGTATTTGTAAGTGTTCCCCCACTGGACGAATAGCAGCTGGAAGGATTTTAGCTGGGAAGATGATAGGAGGAAAAAAGGTTAACTGCTGATCCCCACCACAGTGACCTTGATTCAGTTCAGCTCCCTTCCCTAAGCTGGTTTTAATATTTACCTTTTCAAAAACAAATGTAAAAAAATAAATAAATTATAGGAGCTCTGATCACAGTTGCCAAGATGTCATATTGAAATTTGCCCTCACTATGCACTAGGCTTCTAAGATGCATGTGAAGTCAGAGCAAGTGTTTTCTCCCCCTCACTCACAAACACACACACAAACATTGTTGTATATATATATTTTTCCTCCTGTACGTTCCCCCCCCCCGTAACACAGTTTCATGATAAATAATATTTATACTGTGATCATTAAAAGAAACTTCTCTACCAAGAAGAAAACAACAGGTCCCACAACAGGTATAATCCAAAACTGGAGCTTACCCCAATGCGTCAGCACTTGTCATCCTTGGCAGTGGGGAATAAATAGAGGAGAAGGAGAGAGAAAGAAAGGGACGTGGAAGCAGGTGGAGAAAAGAGTACGAAAAGCAGAGTGAAATACTGTTCGGAGAACTACATGGTCATAATTATTGCCACAGGCATCTGCTGCTGATGGAAGCACCAGTGGGGAATTACGCATGGGAAGGGGGAGGTTTTCATTTCCTAAACAAATATTTCCATATAGCTCATAATCATAGAAGAAGTTTGCATCTGGGATTATGGGGGCAGACACATCAAGTGTAAACGTGAAAAATAAAACATTGCTTGCCCACCCTCATTAAGCCAGTCTGTGGAGTTAGCAGTCCAGATCTGATTTGCGGTTGTTTTTATTTATGGCAAATAATCAGATTTTGCACAGTGGGCTGTACTGAAAAGGATGTGGATCTTCCTCCATTTTGCTCATGTAAGATTCTCCTGCCCAGTGATGACCAGCTAGGAATCTCCTTTTCCACTGTGTATATCTATACTTTATATGTAGTGTTAAATGCACTGATAATTAAGACCAATATTTCTGAATGGGTATGAGGCCCGGGTGAACAAAGCTACAAGTGAAGGATGTAACTCACTGGGAGTTTCTCCTGTTCTGCTGAAATGTATAAAAACATATATGTATTGCCTTTCATGGCTGCTATTCATCTGAGTGAGACTCATGTAGAAATCCTGAGTAGGTTGTGTCCAAAGTTGCAACTCTACTTTAATTCTGGCTGAAAGGACCTTCAACTTTTTCCAAAATAGATAAAAATCTATTTTTATTAAATTAAAATTAAAACCAGGGGTTCTCTGCCTAAAAACAGTGGAAAATAAATGCACAATATAAAATAAATGCAGCCTTAAGCACACGCTATTAAAAGAGATGTTAACTGTTTCTCTGTCCTACTACAAATTATAACACTGCTAAGTTACATTTCTACCCTGGTTTTCATTTTAATGTTGCTCAAGTCACATCACACTTGTGATGGGCAAGCAGAAATCTTTAGATGTATTGTGGAATAAACTTGCATGATTATTATTCATTCCCCCCCCCCCATATCCCAATTTTGTCTCCCTCTTCCCAACTTCTGTAGGGATCATTTTAAAAAGCTTTCATTTAAGTCTTAATCTCCTTTTAAACCAGGTACTGTGCATTGTTGGTTGGTTGCTTACCCCACCAACCAAGTCATCTAACTTTCTCTAGGAGGCTGTCATAGAAACAAAAGAGCCTTTTGGTTAAGCCAATCTCAAACAACATGCCAATTTCCTATGGGAAACTTTAAAGGACTTGAGTGCAAAACACTAGATACACCAAAGGATGGCCTTTCCTCATGTTTCTGAAGTATATTTCTCAAGTTTGCTCAGCATTGAGACTGTGCAACATGGAAGCTGTAAAGAAATACTATGTCTTAGACAACAATTAAATAACGTCCCTTCCAACTCCACAGTTCTACCTAATTGTATGATAACATGTTGATTGTCATAGGATAGTCAAACTACTTCCTCTTTCTGCTTTAGGAGACTCATCTCCACAGCAAGCCTCTTCTGTTCTGGCAATGGAAATTTACTGCCCTATCCTAACATGCACTATTGGGCCATAAGCCAGAAACAGCAGCTTAGAAGACACACAGAAGGTGAAATTGCTCTCCCTCAAGCTGATCCCGTCTTCTGCTTCTGAAACAGAGTCTGATAAAGCATCCAGTGAACTGTCTTGTCTTATTTTATGGGATCAGCCTCAGTTTTTTTGAGGCCTGGGGATGTGGACAAGATGTTTGCCTATTTACTTACTATTTACTCTCTTGACCCTTGCTCATCATGCCTGATCAAAGCTAGTCATGCAGAGTTAACCAGGTGGATCCAGGGATTGGTAAATGCATCACTTTGTGAAACTGCATTTCACTGTGTGACCACTTCTGAAAAGCCGGTACTGGGATCCGGAGGTTTATTCCAACTACCACCTGTTTACTAATACTCCTTTTGGGGGCAGTGTGCTTGAGAAGGTGGTGGTTGCTCACCTACAGGTGCACTCTTGGAGGAAACTGATTATCTGCACCTATTTCAATCTGAATTCAGACGTGGTTTTAAGACAGAATTGGCCCTGATCACTCTGATGGATGACTTCCAGCAGAGAAACAGAGGGAGTGCAACCCAGTTTATCTTGTTGGATCTCTCAGTAGCTTTTGATACTGTTGACCACAGTATTCTCCTGGATCATCTCCACTGGAAATAGTTCCAGTGAGTAGCATTGGAGGACTGTGCCTTGGTTTAATGTTTAATTATGTTTTTGTATGTGCTGGAAGCCACCAAAGTAATCTGATGGATAATAATAATAATAATAATAATAATAATAATAATATAACCCCCCTCTCCAATTCCTATGGGCTGTTCTGGTGGTTCTCCCTCCCCCCAACAATTTGGGGAGAGTGCAGGGAAAATCACTTCTGCACAAGCAGAAGTCCTTGTGCACAGCTTCCACCGACAGAGTTCCTTAGATGAATCCTATCCAATGTCCCCAATACTATTTAACAACTACGGTACATGCAGCCACTGGGAGCAGCCATTAGGAGATTTGAAGCAAATAGTCACCAATAGACAGATGACGCAGAGCTCTGTTTCACTGTAACATCTGGGTCAGGCAAGATGTGAATTTCCTGAACCAGTGTCTGGCCACAATAATGGAATAAACTGAGAATGACTCCCGGGAAGACAGAAACCCTATACAGTAGATAGGCCTTTCTCATGGTCAAGAAATTAGACGTCTGCTTGTTCTGGATGTGTTTGCATTTCCTCCACCGGAGTAGGTACATAGTATCCTAGATCAATCTTTGTCAATAGAGACCAAAGTGACTACTGCGGCACATAGTGTTCACTACCAACTTTGTTTGGTGTGACAGATATGCCCATTCCTTGGCAGCGATAGTGGTCCATGGTGTAGCATGCTGTTTGGGGTGCTGCTCTTAAACTTGGTTTGCAGCTTGTGCAGAATATTGTGGCTGGAGAGTACTGAGTGTCTAGGTATGTACACCAGTGCTTGAAGATCTGCATCAGGTGGCTATCTACTATCGAGCTGAATTCAAAGTTTTATTATTAACATGTAAAGCCCTAAACAACTTGGGACCAGTATACCTAGATGACCACCTCCCCTGTTATAGGCCAAATCATCCTTTACAATAACCAGGCCCTGTTCACTGTAGGATGGCCAGTGGATTGCCAGCTGGAAACCATTTGGAAGCAGGCCTCTTCAGTTATAGCACTAACCCTCTGTCCCCCACAAGAGAGATAGAAGAAGCTCAATCTCAGTTGTCTACTCAGGCGTATTTGGATGCTTGAGAGCGTTATCATGTTCAGACTTGCTGTTTAAATGATTGTCTTATTAACAATGCATTCATTGCAATTTGTTGTATTTTGATGTCCTAATTTTTGTAAACCACTTAGGGATTTTGCCAAAAATGTCAAAAATGTAAAATAAATAAAACACTCAACTCTCCTCCATTTCATAAATGATATTGCCATTTGGATAGATGTCCTTTCAATCAGATTTGAGGTGTTACTAGAAGGTCCATCAGACACATATTTCTAACTTATTTACACCCATACACATTATTCTTTGTGCATCCCGTATAGTCCTTGTATACCTTCCATCTTTGTGCAGTTCTGGTGAATATTACTGATGTAGAGAAGGAATATATTAAACTTATAAACCCACATTTTCATATATAAAAGGCCACATTTTCTTGCCAGATTTAGCAGTGTAGATATTTTTACAATTGATGTTCCCAAGTACATTATCTGGTTATCTGGATGTGCATGTAAATCAATGTGCAAGTGACTGCACATAACACATACACAAATGCTGAGAAAGTAAACAGAATTTGTGTGTGTGTTTTTACATCAATGTGGACACATAAATGCTATTAATCTTTAGTTTTCCCAGAAAGGGAAAGGCACTTAGGATTTTAACGATGAGTATGGACATCACATTGACAATGGGGAAAGAAAGTAGGGAAATGAGGTTATTTAAACAAAAATAATAATCCCAGAACACAATAAACCCAGCAGCGCAGACATGTGCATTTCCTACAGTACTGAAGCATGTGAACTACGGAGCTGCAGCAACCCAGATGTAGAAGAAGCACTGAGGGACAGGGCAACAGATGAGAGACACAGAAAGAGAGAAAGACTAGAAAGACTAGAAAAGAGAGAGAGAGAGAGAGAGAGAGAGAGAGAGATTGAGAGAGAGAGAGAAAATGGAGGGAGAGAGGGAGGGAAAGAAACAGTGGCCTCAGCTACCAAGACAACTGTGTGCATCTAGAGGGGCAGGATCCTTAAAGATGCAGTATTCCTTTTAAAATAAACCAAGAGTGAGAGAAATATTAAGACATTGACCAGGCACCATTTCAAATGTGTGATTTGTTATCCCAACAAGGAAATATTTTGATGGGGTTTTCTTTGTTGCACTTCTTTTCTGCTCCTGCACTTGGACCTATATTTTCTCATCTTCCCATAACATTTTCCTCAGTGTACATAAAAAAGACCTAACCCATAAAATTTTAGAAATCCCCCTTTCCCCTTTGTGGATCACACATGTCCCCCCCCCCCATTTTCTTCATCCTTTCGTAGATCAGAAAACTGCCACTTTGGGTCAGAGTTAAGATTGTGCTGTTTGTAACTGATTTCTGCAATGGCTTTCAAATCATAATTATTTCTATAGATGGGAGTACAATGGCCATATATTCGTCTCATACAAAAGGTTATGGAGTATGGTTGATCTTTTCTGTGGATTTGTATTTGCTAAACTATTCTTACAAATGGTTTATCTTCAAATTGTGATGCTGCATGTCCTACTTCAACAAACTTTTCTAAGAAATAGTTGAGACTTGTGGTGAGTTGTGATCTGTTTATGAATCGAGACATTCCCAAAAATTGTTCAGCTCATGCATACCCACTGTAAAAGTCCATTTGTATTGACTTAAAGATGTGAAATGGAGCCTACTTTTGTGAGTTCTTCCAGGAAGGACCAGAACTGGAAATGTTACTCCTGTCACTAATAAAATATTGATGCATTTATAGAGGTCTCCACCTCCTAAGCATTCCATGTGCTTCACAAACACTGTCTCAACAATGCTCAACATATAAAATAGGCCAGCATTACATTTCCCCTGTTACAGAAGCAGTTCAAAACTAAGAGAGGCTGCTGTAGCAAAGTGAGACTTGTCTGTTTTTCAAAAGAAAAGAAAAAACAGTGCACGCACCCATTCTGGGGAAATGGTAAGTTGGCTGAGACTTGTGTAACTACAGGAGAAAAAAGGTTAAGGTGGGTTGAATGATGGTGGGAGGATCTAGTAAAACCTTTTATTTTTTCTTAAGGGAAATGCATCAAAAGCCACTGTAGTGATAAGGAAGGGGGAAATGGCCAAGGCTGGGCTATCATCCTGATCTGTCTGGCAAGAACTTTGACAGGGCTAACAAGATGTAGTTAGGTTTTCAGAACCCCATCCCACAACCGTCACTCCAGGCTGAGATTTGTATCAAGGCTCTGGCTCCCGCAACAGAGCTTGGGGACTCCCTGACGAGCACTGCACAAGACAGCAGCTCATTATTTTTCCCCAGCTTGTGAACTTTTTATGAGTTCCTGGCAGCTTGGCTGCAATGCTCTCTTCCTGCAGGCCCTCACAAAAATGAGTGCCTTGTATGCTGCGCCAGAATCAGACCATCCATCTGCTGACAGGCAGAGTACCCTCTATCTGCAGCTTCTAAATGAGAAACCTGCAGGTCCTTTAAAAAGTTTATTTAGTGGACTTTCTTGGCCTACAAAAGCAGTTTCTAGGCTTAATTTGAGCCAAGGTTCGCAAAAGCTCAGTCCAAGAGCCCATTTTCAATATTATGAATACCAGCTCAAGTGCAGTGCAGTGGCTTAGCGACTGAGGGCTCATCCACAATTCCACTTGCCCCATGCTTAGAAAGCACAGGTCCAAGCAGTCCCGTCCCCCCCGCTCTGCTTCTTTCCCAGGAAAAACCCGATCTTTAGCTCTAAATCAGAACAAACAACAATCTGCGGAAAACCCAATACCTGTTTGCTCTTATTCAGTGCTAAAGAGTGGTTTTCCCCAGGGGAAAAGCAGAGGGACAACAGTCGATAAACAAAAGTGTGGATAACACTAGGAAGCAACCAGTTCAAATCTTGCCCCTGCAATGTGCTCACTAGTCAGATCAGAGCCAGCGGGGGTGGGGTGGGTAGAGTGTTGGACTAGAACCTGGAAGCCCTGGGTTCAAATTTTCACTAAACTGGGAAGCCAGTCTCTCAGTCTAATTTACCTCATAGGGGATTATGAGGATTAAATAGGGAAGAACCACATATGAGGAAAGGTGGGATATAATTGTATATATAAATAATAACTCTCTTCTGCTCTTAGCTCCCAAACTACAAAAATGGATATAGTGAGCTACCTAATAGGGCAACTGTAATGATTAAAAGACAATGTATATGGAGCAGTTTGAATACTCAAGTGTTATTCATAATGCAGTGGCTAGGACTTCTTTCCCCCGGTCTGCAGGTTGAGTGTAGACCAATGTGCCTTTGAGTACATGCAGAATATTTTTCTTTGCCCATATGTAACTACAGTGAGACTCCACATGCTTAAGTATATGTCATGCATCCTTACAGATTATATGAGTGTAGTTGCAAAAGGTTTCTAGGTGATAAACTAGGGGTACAATCCACAACTAGAAAACTCTCATCTATCTCAGTGGGATTTGGACACTACCTGCTGTCTATGTTCAAAAGGAAAGGACTTAAATGGTTCAAAACCTAGTTAATGTTCTAAAGCAATGAATAATTCTCCAGATGATTAGAAAAGAGTAGATTCCATTTTTCAAGTGAATGAACTGGGTGCTGCCTTTGTCAATGTTAACAAGACAGGAAATATTACATGGTGCTATTACTTTTATGCCTCATTTTTATCACTGTTAAAGGTTTTAAAAATGAAACAACTCAAAAGTAGCAACAATTCCTTCAACAGCTGCACCAAAACAACACCAACACAGAGTTTTGGCTGGTGCATTTTGTCATGCAGAGATGAGAAAAGCTGCACCTTTGGAAACTCCGTCTGCTACACCAGTCTTAGCCAACCTGGTGCCCTCCAGATGTTTTGGATAACAACCCCCTTCAGATGCCAAAGGCAGCACTGCACAATTATTAAGCCTGCTTTCCCATTAACAGTCTTGCTCCTGTCTCTTATGGCAGAGCGCAGCACCTTTTGGCAGCTGAACTGTCATGGCTGAGGAGGGCAAGGAAAGTCAGCCTAATAATAATAATAATAATAATACTATGAGAGTAGCTAACATATTTTATGTACTTTGCTTAAGGATTGGGGGCCCTTCTACGGCTGGTTAAATGGTTTACCAATACCAATTTTGGCTTCCCCAGGAGTACCACTGCCTTCCTCCATTTGCCAGCACAGAGGCAAGAAAGGTATATGGAGGAAGAGGTGGCTTCATCCCAGGGACTTTGGGAGATGGAGGAACCCTGGCTTGTCACCACCTGTTCCTTCCTCACTGTAGCTCTCCTGTAAATTAGTTACTGACTCATGGTCACAGAACACACTAGTGCAACCCCAACCCAGTGCCCTCCAGATATTATTGGACTACAACTCCCATCATCCCTTGTCAGCACGGTCAGTAGTCAGGGATAGTCCAGCATCTGGAAGGTGCCAGGCTGGGGAAGGCTGGAATAGTGTGCTGATGTGGAAGAAAACTAGCTATTGGTCCACCCAAAACTGGGTCTCTTTCTCTCAAGTGCAAGCAAATTTTTCCCCAGTGGAGAAGGTAAGTACTGCATCTTTAAGGAATAGCAGTGAGGTAAAGGAGAGGAACAGATTGTTGGTGTTTATACCTTTCTTCTTTGTTGAATTTGGGATTGGCGTCACAGATATCCAGGCTTTTACTGAACATTGTTTTACTATGGCAGGAACAAAGTGAGAAAACAGAGTTACTAATGTGGACATTCATATGAGATTTGCCTGACGCAGTCCCTGAGACCCACCCACCCAAAGTTACCCCACCCATTTTGAAGAAATGCTCTGGAACAGGGATCAGAACTGTGTTCCTTTACCAACTGGGTGTCTTGCCCCGTAAAGGTACCAAATTTATGGGTGTACTCAACTTAGATTTGGCTTATACTACACCAATGAAGCAAGTGGGGAGATTTGGATACTGAATTTGATGATGCAGGCTCAAACCGCAACTCTCAAGTTGGTCATGGTGGCATGAGGCAAGATTCATTTTATACAAACCATGTCTCTAAAACTCCTTGCACATGCCTTCCCCAAACCCAAGTTAGCCGATGAGGAAATGCTGACCCAAAGTAGAATCATATTCCTCACAGAGATTTGTGAGACATGTCAGAATTCAGCTGAGGCCACCAATATTAAACATGGTCTGAAGAATGCAGATTCAGTTAAGTGGTTCAAAATGGCCTCTGCTATACATACCTTGTTCCCACAAGTCCCCCCTCCCCCCATGGCCTCAGCTGCAAACAAAGGCCTAAAAGACAGGTCTGGCCTATGGACAGTTGATCTGGAGTATACCAGACCCAAATGAAAGTTGTCATTCCAGATAATCAGTGTAAAGTACCCACAAGAAAAAGGACACCAGTTTGTTGATGGAACCAACTCTCTCAGCTCCCCTTCCAGTTCTTAATCTGCTCTCTGTACTTCATTCTGTTTGCTTTAAGAGAAACCTAAAAGCCTATGACACCCAGGGAGAAAAAAAGAACCTGTTGCAGGAAAATGCACCATGAACGTGGCAGCTGCTATGGCATTGATGTATCTTGGGGGAGATGAAAGGCTGAGTTTAAATATGATGAAGAACAATGTACTAAAGTCCCCAGAATAGAAAGAATAAAAGGAAATGATGTTTACAGTAACCAAAACAGCAAATGGAGGAAGCAGGATTTTCAGTAGAGAAGTATTGAAAGCCAAGTAGGTTTTGGGATATTCAACACTGCATTTTATCTCTTCCCTCAGTAATAGTGAACAGGGAGGGAAGAGGCAAGGAATATATAAAGAGTCAGATACACTGGGGGGGAAAAATGTAAAGCACTGAAGAAGCTAAGTAACACTTTTTCCTTACAGTACATTAGGGTTGGCAACTAGCAGGATTACAATAGGCCAGTCAAACCAGCACAACAGATACCTGTGCACTTTTGAGTCTCAGGCAGCCAGGAAGACAGTGCATGGCAACAAAACATTCCAAGCACAGACAGACAGAAAGCAACTGAAGGTAGAGTTATGCTGGTACATAGCTCCCTCATCCCACCCCTTGGCAGGTTTCGCATGATATTAAATATTCTTCACAAATATGTCAAAGAAAGGATAGAGGTTCTTTCCAAAGCCCATTAATATTTGTCCTTTCAGCTGCATTAACTATGAACCCCAACTCTTATTTCCCCCCCAAACCTATGCCAAGATTTTGTGTGGTTTTGTGCCACAAACCTTGGGTTTTGTACCACCACCTGCAGTGTATTGACACATCAAAGGTTCCTAGGTAAGGATGCTGAGAATTATCTGTTATAAATCCTGTTAGAACTACAATTTCCAAACTGTTTTAGGAAAGGGAATTAGTGCTGGACCACTTATGTCTCTAGTGAACATATACCTTGAGAATGTTGTTCTTAAGGGCAGATGGAACTCTAACAAAAATTCCTTTCAAATGCTACTTGGAGCATAATACTATGCTGGGAGCCTTACAATGTTTGCCTCTTGGTTGGATGTACTTGGGTTTTATTACTGATGGTACTGACAGTCTTCCTGTCAGATGGTAACCATCTCCAAACACCTTTGTTGTTAATGAACAATCCATGTTCTGAATAAGTACACTGCCAGTAGTCTATGCTGTATGCCTTTGCAATCTGAAGATGAGGTGGCTCATCTGATTTACCAAAGTACAGTAAAAAAATAATAATTCATTCTATGTCTGTTCCATTTCCCTGTTCACAATCACACATTGGTACCTTCCTTTAGCAGCTATGGCCTAGCAATCAACTATATGAGCAAAAGCGCAGATGTTGTATTTGGCATGCATTCTGACTCACAAAAATATGGACACATCCTTTGCTGTGTGGCACAACCTTTTGTATAAAAGCATCTCTTCGGAAAAAATTCTCTGGACTTCTGTCAATTTATCAGTTTCTACTAAAGCAGTGTTCATGCTCCCCATCCCCTGCCAACATTCAAATAAATAAAAGCACACACTCTCATTTGGTGAGAGACAAAGCTGTGTAATATTTGCACTTTCCTGAGAATCTGCTATGCAACTGCCATCCCAAGGTGAGAGATAGCAGGAATTGTGCAAGCTACTTTGATGTATCAGGATTAAGGCAAGATCTTAGAATCAGGAAATGACATTCTTCCTAATTTGGGTTTTCTTTCTCAGTTGGCTAGCCCTAGCAAATTCTACCCAGACAAGTGCCTGATGTAAACAACTGGAATGCAAAACAGCATGGTAACTGTCTGCAGGTGAGTTTGTGCTATTATCACAAGCTGTCTCCATCATTCTGTTCCTGAAGAGCTTCATTGTTAGGTAAGCAAAATTCTCAGCACCCAAAATGGACTTTTAGAGTTGAGACAAGGGAGCCTATGTAATCAATGGTGATAGCTCAGTATTGTAGCAGTTTAGCCTCACCATGCTTACACTTGCTTTTTAGCCTGTCATCTCTGATCAAATTGGCCTCAACCACTACATCAGAATACATTTACCAAATTACCATTTCACTACTTACTTTTCAGGCATCCTGTTGCCGCATATCTCAGACCAAAAACTGTACAGTGCACAGCTATGTACCCCCAGCAATCAAATTTGGTTAGTCTTGGCAAATTGCTCTTTGCACACACTAGAGGTTTAACTGCACTGGACTACAGGCCCTCTTGTGTTTTCTACTTGGCGACTGGACATCAGCTAAAGTTGGGGAGGATAACTGCTAACAACTGAGGCACAGGTCTGTGTTGGAAAAAATTAAATTAACCTAGATGCACAGAGTTCTTTAGTACATTTCTATATAGTTTTAACACACATGGGGATTTCCTTTCATCTCTTCAGCCTTTAGACTTTCTGTCCCATTCAGAATATAACCAGAAGACCCCAAAGAAGTTCACTGAGCTTATGCCTTCTGGGAACACCTTTATTTATTTATTTATTTATTTATTTATTTATTTATGGCCGTCTGCTGCTCACTGCAACACCATGGCTGCCATGTTTCTTCAGACAGAGTTTGGAAATAATTGATTTTCACGTAAGAAACATGCACACATTTTTGGATGAGACCAGAGGCTATGGTGACACTTTTTATTTAGCTAAGATGTTTATCTTTAGCCTATGCAAGCTTCTATTGGTAATTATTCCCTCCTCCCAGCACTGCTCTGAAATGCTGGAAGCAAAGGAGTAAAAAAGTATACATATATTTTTTAAAAAAGCAACAGTAACTAGAGTAATTAAGTAATCTTCCTTACAGATTTCTGCACAGGCTACTGTGAGAAAACCTAGACTGATGCTCCTTCACCTGGATAAACATAATGGTGCCAGCTGAGATGGCTTCCGAAACTCTGATGGCACAGACTTCCTGACTTTTGGCTTTGGGGACCACCTACCTCTGTCCATGCTGTGCCATTTCAATCGCTCTGCGAGCTGGAACTGGGGATCCTCCATCTGTCACACTCAGGACCTCCATTGACTTCCTTTCTGGCCTCCGCTTCCCATGTCTGTTCAGCATTGGAGAGTCCACACGCTTTCTGGGAGGGTCTTTATGCAGAGATAATGCAGTCAGCATGGCTGAACACACCTCAGATGTCCCCGGCTCAAAATACTTTGCTTCCCAGGAAATACCCACACCATATTTTCTAAACTGCAAAAATAGGGGGCCCCAGTGGAAAACTGAAACATTAAGACTCCTCTGTACAATATCACACATGAAAAACCCCTCTTCACTCCATGAATATCTCTCAACTATGAGTTTCCATTCAGAATGGAAACCATGAGTATCTCTCAACAGCTTTTCAAAAATGATCTTCAACAAATGTAAGTAAACAAGTAAAAAACAGAGCTGTGATTATCTGGAGGGTGAAATGAAAAACAAACTTTTCCCACTTGCACATAAGGTTAGAACACCGTTAAAATAAATTATGGTTTAAGGTGGGTAAGCTGGAATGATAAGAATGCTCACTTCACTCCTCCACACTGCTCTTGCCTTGCTGCTGGGAACAAACCAGAGTCTGTTTAAGTCTGAATCCAGGCTTGTGATTTATTTCTCTCCAAACAAACCATGCACAGAAACCATGGTTTGCTCTTGGCTTACTGCTTGTAGCTTGTTTGAAGGAAGCAATGAGTTCTGGTTCAGGCATCATAGTAAGCCAGACCCTGGCTTGCTTCCCAGTAGCACAGCAGAAGCGGGAGATGAACAAAGCAAGCTTGCTGCTCGCTTGCATTAAGCCATAGTTAATTTTAATCTTTGGTTTAGCTTTACGTGCTAACCAGGCCAATGTAGCAGTCACTGAAATGGAGATTACAATATTCCAGACAAATAGCAGCAGTCACTGAAATGGAGAGTACAATATTCCAGATGTAGAGACATTTTAGGTAAGAAGGTTTTATGTTTGCCTGTAAGCAGCTACTTAAAAGTTAAATGAAGGCATCTTAGAAGGGCAAGCAAGATAGAGCCTAAACTTGCAGTATTAAACTAACATTTACTGCCAATGGGTCTTGTAATAAAAAAATAGCAAACATGGAGTCTGGCATTTACTGGAGGATACTGTATAGGAATCTGTCACTTTTAGCCTATGAAACACTCAGGAATGGTCCAACAGTGTTCTGCCCCAGTTCTCCAGCAACTTGCCTTTTCAATATGTTGTGTGTGTTAAAAACTCTCGTTTTGCACTGAAGAAACTACTGCCCTCTGACAAAACAGGGGTTTTCAACTATACCATATTTTATACCCTCACGTCTTGATTTATGTGACCTTTCATATCATCATCCCTCTTCCCCAAGGAACCAAAACAATGTTACAGCCAGGCAGAATGGAAACAAATAAGCATTCTTGCATGTGTGCTGATGAGTTTGTTCTTGACAGTAGGGCAAAAGTAGAGCAAAGTTTTAAAAAGAAGAAATGCTGCTTTCTATTCTCATAAATCTGCAGTGGCCTGTATAGAGAGATATCTGTGTGCTTTGTGCAACTGTGGAATAATGTCAGACTACATTGCAGGAGAAATTTTGGTTCAAAAGAGAGGAAGAAAACATACTTCTGAGAGAAGGGAACCACACACATGCACAGGATCAAAAAGAGGAAAGTTAAAAAAAGAAAACAACAGCAGACTACCAGAGTTGAATCATTCATTTAGCATCAGCTAGAATTCCAAAGCCTGAACTATTGCTCTAAGGTTTCTCAAACTTGCCCATGTGCACCTAGACAGATGAACACTTATTCTGCATGGCATGCATCTTTGAAGTAAGTAACATCTCCAAGCAACTATTATTACACCATCACTACTTCCCTGATCCTTTCCTCTCATCTCTTTGTTTGAGGCCACAGTTAATGGCTAATGATGAGATATTCATCAGAAGCATGATTGCTCTCAATTAAACCTTGCTCTGCATTGCCAGAGATATTGCTAGGAGCAAAGAGCTAAACTTATCCACCATGCTTCCCTTGGGAAAGGAAGCACAACTAACACTTGAATAATAATGCACATGAATTCTAAAATATGATGACACATCACACAGATATATGCAGCTCAGAGATAATGTTAACACATTCAGGGAAGACATTTTTCTTCCTGCACAGAAAAATCCAGACAATAGTTTGCATTAGTGCATGAAACGAATGTTATGATACATCTGTGGCATGCGAAGAGAAGGAGGAAAGCCTACCTCAGATGCACAACTGAGGCATAAAATTGCACTTGTCTGCGCAGGAAGTCAAAATTCAACCACTTAAATAATAAGTAGCAGAATTATCTTTTGTGCCAAAGCATTTAGCCAAATCAATTTGTTGTCTATGGAGCTTACTTTAAGAAACTCCCCTATATGTATAATTCATTGTCTAGGGAGTATACCTTAAGAAGTCAGAAACAGCACATCAGAAAAAACTCTCCCATATTTTTCTATAAGCATTATGTGAGATATAGTAAGAGAGCAAGTATGCTGCATCCACATTATTTAAATCCACTGGATTCACTGGAAATGCTTCCTTTCTGCTTTATGTGCATACATAGCTAAGAACATGTTTCAAGTGAAGTGATCAAGGACTGCTGACTGTGGCTTCAGTATGAAGCTCCAAGTTCAGTCTGATGCACACATGGAGCTCCCACCCACACTAGCTTTTATTTCAGTGGTAGGGGAAACTCTAGCCATGCAAGGAGATGCATAAACTGAGATGCAGTCACCTCTACTGAAGTTAATTTTAAAGCCTTTCAGGTGCAGGTAGGTCTGTAGCTATACGAGACTTTCTGAAAATGCAAGGAGCTTCTCAAATAGACTGAATATTATGTAACATGCTATAACACTTGGTAAGATGTGGCCAGTCCCTCCAGTGAGAGCAACACCAAAAGAGGGACCCACTCTAGAGACACAGATTTGTTTCCAGGTATACCTATTTCATTTCTAGGAGGAAGGTCCTCATCCTCATGACTAGGATATCTCTCTTTCCGATCAAGGAGAAGAAAATAAATCATTTTCTCTTGGTTTTCTCTGGAAAAACAACAATACATCATCATCATCCAATAAAAATTTCCAGCTTTTTGCAGAATATTAACTTCATTTATGATATCTTAAATGATGGAAGAAAGAGCTGGTGCAGACATTATTGAATGGACTTACCTGCATGAATAGCTACTCCTTGAAAAAGAACTGTTACCTTCTGAATTGTTTTTATGGTTGACAGTTTTAATACGATGCTCTCAGGTCATAAGAATATTAAAAGATCCCTGCTGGATCAGACCAAAGGCCCATCTAGCCCAGCAACCTGTTCTGACAGTGACCAACCAGATGTCCATGGGAAGTCCATGTGCAGAACCAGTGCGCAACAGCACTCCAATGACTTGTGATTCCCAGAAGCTGAAATTTATACTGCCCTCGACAATGGAGGTGGAACTTAGTAATTGAATCCTTTGGGGGACAGAATATGAGGGATATGGATACATTTATAAATAAATAAATGTTTTGCTCCATGTAAAACACTCTCTTCATGTGGAAAAGAAGCAAATAAGGAAGACACATTTCCATGTGCAGGGACACATTTTGGTTTGGTTTTTACATGGAGGAGTATTCAAGCATATAACCCTCCCCTCTGTATCTGAAGTGGTACAGCTTAAAAAGGATTGCATCAGGCCACTGGTAGAGCAATCATGGGGCTTCTTACAACTTTGGTTCACAAGCGTGTTCTGCCTCTGCCACCAGAGCCAGAAGCTATGAGAGGCAGCAGCGTCCCTGGCCTGTGAGGAACCCTTGACTTGTGATGGACTGAACATTCAGTTGCTCTGGCGACCATTCCTGAGCCAGAGGAAGTTTCTATATGCTTTTCTGCGATTATGAGGGGGCAACTCTTGTCTATTTTACTGTATTTTAAAAAGTATCAGGAGCTGTCTCAATAACTTTGGTTAGTAGCCAAGGTAAAAAATAGTCCGAATAAATAAATAAGAGGCTGAGCTATGAATCAAGAAGGCCCTCATTTGAATCTTGCTTCTGCTGTGAACTCACTAGGTGGCCTTAAACAGATCACTGTTTGTCAGCTTCAGCCCCTCACTTCCCACCACCTGCAAGATGGGAGATAATTATACTGAGCTACCCTACAGGATTGTTGTACTACAACTAAATAATGCATATGAAGTACTTTGTACTACTACTACTACTACTACTACTACTAATAATAATAATAATACTTTATTATTTATACCCCACCCATCTGGCTGGGTTTCCCCAGCCACTCTGGGCAGCTCCCAACAGAATACTAAAAACATGATAAAAGATCAAACATTAAAAACTTCCCTAAACAGGGCTGCTTTCAGATGCCTTCTAAAAGTCAGATAGTTGTTTATTTCCTTGACATCTGATGGGAGGGTGTTCCACAAGACAGGCGCCAATATGGAGAAGGCCCTCTGCCTGGTTCCCTGTAATCTCACTTCTCACAGTGAGGGAACTGCCACAAGGCCCTCGGCGCTGGACCTCAGTGTCCGGGCTGAACGATGGGGGTGATGACGCTCCTTCAGGTATACAGGACCAAGGCCGTTTAGGGCTTTAAAGGTCAGCACCAACACTTTGAATTGTGCTTGGAAACATACTGGGAGCCATGTAGGTCTTTCAGGACCAGTGTTATATGGTCTCAGCAGCCACTCCCAGTCACCAGTCTAGGTGCTGCATTCTGGATTAGTTGTAGTTTCCGGGTCACCTTCGAAGGTAGCCCCATGTAGAGCGCATTACAGTAGCCCAAGCGGTATACTGATGTTGAATATTATTATTACTACTACTGGTAGTAGTTTTAGCAGTATCTGCCAGAATTGCATCAGCTCCTAGTGACCCTCAAGAGATTCCTCTTGATATAGATAGATAGATAGATAGATAGATGATAGATAGATAATATAGATAACACTGAACTGGGTGGGTGGCAAGTCTGATTTATCACAAGGAAGTTCTTTTACATCTCAATCTGCTGAAAAATTATTATTGGCTCATCTTACTATACATGGCCCATGCACCAGGGTAACATTATGTCACAGAGCCTATTTAACAGATGAGTAGAAAAGAAGATCTTCCATGGCTGCTGCAGGGAAAAGAAATGCT